GTACAGTACACAAATAGTTTTTTTTTTTAACCCTACAGTTATTCACCAAGAGGGTTTTATCATGTTCCAAAGGTTGTCTTATATTTAGTCAGTTTTGCCCACTAGTAATTTACCAATAGGTTTTTTTGTTTTGTTTCATGTAAGGTTCTAGGTTCTACAGTCATTTTTATGAAAATAATTGTGTACTGTACATATATGACGGGAGGTATTTCTCACACGTCACACGTAGTAAGTCAGTCTTGTATCTAGGAACATACTACAACCTTTGGAACATGAAAAAAACCTATTGGTAAATTACTGTAATTTGTTCATAAAATATTTGTGCACTGTACAAAGGGAGATATTGGCAAACTCATAAGTTTTGTAACTAGGTATATACTACAACCTTTGGAACATGAAAAAGCCTTTTTGGTGAATTACAGTAGTTTTTTTTCTTAACATATTTGTGCACTGTACGTCCAGTAAAGCAGGTATTGGCAAAATTTCACCTGTAATAAGTCAGTCTCTGTACAGACTGTAAGTGAGATGTTGGAAGTATTGTCTAAGGCGAGACATTGGCAAAATATAGTTAGTCAGTTTGCCCACTAGGCATTTACTATAGTCCTGTGAACATTAATTTGAATTATTGTACTTCGTATAAGATGACAGTTAGGACGACAGTAAAGACGACAGTTAGGACGACAGAATAAGACGACAGTTAGGACGACAGTAAAGACGACAGTTAGGACGACATTTAGGATGACAGAATAAGATGACAGTTAGGACGACAGGTTAAGATGAGAGTTAGGACGACAGAATAAGATGACAGTTAGGACGACAGAATAAGATGACAGTTAGGACGACAGAACAAGATGACTATTAGGACGACAGTAAAGACGACAGTTAGGACGACAGAACAAGATGACTGTTAGGACGACAGAACAAGACGACAGTAAGGATGACAGAATAAGATGACAGTTAGGATGACAGAACAGGACGACAGTAAGGACGACAGAATAAGATGACAGTTAGGACAACAGAACAGGACGACAGTTAGGACGACAGAATAAGATGACAGTTAGGACGACGGAACAAGACGACAGAACAAAATTACAATAAGGATGACAGTAATTAAACGACAGAGAAAAAGCAAGCAGGACGACAGATTAAGATGACATCAACAGACAACATACACGCCTACATATACTGATTTACCTGAACAAGTAGGCAATGACTGTAGACAAAGACAAATGTACAGTACAAAGCACAAAACAGTCGACTCATTTTTGACACAAATTGAACCTCATATAAAAAAGGTAAAAATGCCCATTAAAAGGTAAAAATCCATTTAAACTTATTGGAAAAGATTAATTTCTATCACTGCTGTGAACTGATCACCACACAGAATATGAAGAATATGAAAAACTTTAGGAGTCAGCTGTCCATGGTAGTCCTTAAGATATCTGCACAATTACACACTCAGCAAAATATCATCTAATTATCGTTATCGATAAAATCCCAGAAAATATTGAGATATATTTTTTGTCAATATCGCACACCCCTAATATATTTAATGTTTTGTTTAGAAACAATTTTTAATTAATATGAGAAGTGCCCTTTTTTCCACTTGAGCCCCTGCCCCTCAAAATGTCTGTGCACGTCCCTGCCTCCAGTCACATCGCGAAAGGGAGCAGCCACTATATGCAACGGCCTTGAAGTCACTGATGTGCCTGGCTCGCCTTTACCTGACTGATTATAAGTCTTGTTATGGTTATTATTGTTAGGAGAGGATAATATGAGTAAGAGCAGGGGTTTTCAAACTGGGGTCCGTGACCCAAAATTGCTATACCGTATTTTCCGGACTACCTGTCGCGTTTTTTTAATCTTCTGAACCTGCTATGATTTATATTCCAAGTAAGGGATAATCAACGGCTAGCCGTGCATTAAAGGATTTTAAATGCACCAACGTGGAGGCAAAGAGCCGCCCAACGTGAAGCTGAGGGTGGTTGCCTCCGCGAAGTGCATTTAAAATCCTTTAATGCGCGGCTAGCCGTTGATTATCCCGCTTATTCCATGGTCATTTGCCAAGTTATAGACAAGTTAAAACTAGTATTGCTCTTTGCTGCACAATATTTGACCAAATGGGTAAAAATGACAGTAGCTATTCGTCAGTTACGGCACGTTAGCGCTAGCATTCTGCCCGCTTCAAATCATACACAGAGATGAAATAGTGCGGTAAGACCACATTTATTTGAATTAATTATAGCACATATTTCAATTAATTATCAATCGATCAATCGTTTGAGAGAGAGAGAGAGAGAGAGAGAGATGACAGTTGTGTGTACCTGTGTGCTGCGTCTGCGCGTCTCTGTACAAACAATTACTTCAAAAACAGCGATTTTACCACCTTGTTGCTGGGGAAGATAATGTAGCGATCTAGTATCTAGGCTATTTTATTAATGAAAATCACAGAGAAGCGTTGACAACAAGTTTGTGTGCGTGTGCAGCGCAATCAGCGATCTCTGACCTCTCTCTCTCTCTCTCTCTCTCTGTGTGTGTGTGTGCGAGTGATGCTTGTTGGTTAGTGTAAATCAATTAAAGCAGCGCATTAATATAGAGCGGTGATTAAACTGACTTGGAACGACCTGTGCATTGAATGGTTTTACTGCATACCTGCCAGCCAATCAGAATCCAGTATTCAGACAGACCATGGAATAA